AGTTGATCAGCAGGGGCAGTGGACCCGGACATGATTCTGCCTCCTCCCCCGAGCACACCCCGTCCCCGCTCCTCCCCCTCCTTCCCAGTGCCTCCTGCACGCCGCTGAACAGCTGTTCCCAGGCGTACAGGAGGCACTGGGAGGGAGGAGACGAATTGAGAGAGGGAGGAGGAGGAGCTGATCAGTGGGGCTGGCGGCCCCAGACATAATTCCGCCCCCTCCCCCAGCATGCCCCATCTCTGCTCCTTCCCAGCACCTCCTGCATGCCGTTGAACAGCTGGGAGGGGGAAGAATTGAGGGAGGGAGGGGGAGGAGTTGATCAGTGGGACTGGCAGACCCTCTGGAGGACCCTCGCTGTTTGAGAAACGATGCTCTAGCAGGTTGATGGAAGTTTTATTTTGTTTGGTTTGTTTTGGGATTTTTTCTCTTTTTTTGGTCAGCCATTTATTTTTCATTTGGTTCTTTTGAAGTTGCTCAGGGAGTTGCAATTTTCAAGCAGTTCTGATAGAGATAGACTAATTGGTGAAATGCAGGTGTAAGAGAAATGTAATTTATTTGCGTGGCTCTGCATTTTTATCACCAAGCAATTATCACCACGTATTTTATGTGTATATATATATATATATATATGTGTGTGTGTGTGTGTATGGGCACTAGTGTCATCTCATTAATACAGGGTGAAAACAGGCATCACAAACTTCAACCCCAGTCTTTAAGCTCTTCCCAGCCCTCTCTTGGTATGCTCTCTTCATTTTCTTCTTAAACTCCCTGCTTTTCACCATCTTTACTTTACGCCATTCCCCATACACTAAGAAGAGTGTCCAACTTCTTGTTCTCCAGAGATCCTCTACTAATTTCTTCCATAAATCCTTCCTGCTATGTTCTGTTCCTCAAGAATTTCTCCACACTCTCTTCCCCCTATAGCAGTTTACTCTGTCTCATATTTGTTTCTTTTGTCAGTCTTAGATTTTAAGCTCTTTGGGGTCAGAAACATGTGTAGAGCACTGCATGAATTCACAGTACTCTGTAAATGATTATTAATAATATATCTAGGTTAACTCTCTCACCATGAATTAAATTACTTCACTATAAAGTGATGTAGCACAGCATTAATTAAACTTAGCTCAAGCTTCAGTCATATGTCTGATTTTTTTGAAGTGTAAATGATTAATGCTGTTTTATAGTATTTGATTCTGCTAGATGCCTCTCTGTGTTTTTATCTGTGTGGATTTGTGTAGTTTGTGTGTATATATTTAATACATAGAGATGTGTGTTCTAAGATTATTAAATAGTTATTGTCTGATCCTGATAGGTGCAGTTCACCTCCAGTACACTTTGACATTAAGTCAGTAAGAGTTACAGGTGCTCAGCATTTTTCAGGATCAAGACCTTCTGTGTGTGTGTGTGTGCGCACATACATATATCAGGATCTCAATCTTTTTAGTTCAACTGGAATTCCAAATCTAAACATTTTTATGGCTACCAAATTCTTTAAAAAACCATAATGATTTAGAGGCCTGTCTGCTACTTTAGTGGGTGGAAATTCTTAGCAGCTGAGGAACAGTGTACAGAAAACCCAGGAATCAAGACATCTGAGATTTTGTTATACCAATAGAATAAAAACCAGCAGGATCTTATTAGGAGGGATAAGGCAAAGATGCCACATTTATTGTAAATATAATGGTAAAGCAAAAGATAAAAGTAAACAACGTTGTTTTGACTACTTATTCCTATCACTACTTATTCCTTATACATACACACACATATATATATAGAGAGAGAGAGATTCATTCACACAATCATTCATTTAAGTTCTGTATAGGTGTTATAGTTACCAGCCTAGAAGTTGCTCATGCCAAGTTACTGGCCAGGTATCTTGGTCATGAGGATGGAGCCGAGTCTGTGTCAGGTGCACCTGATGCTCCTGGAGGTTGGCAGCAGAACCAGAGACTCAAAATCCTCAGTCTTGAGAGTCCATTCTTATAGGAATTAATTCCTATGTTGGTCTATGGGAGCTGTTTCATCCTGCTGTTACTGACTCAATCAGTGGATGGCACATTCCTGGGCACATTCCTGGTGGCTCCACACTGTCCAAAGTTTGTGTTTCTCATCTTTCCAGGTGATGGGGTGGATCCCAGTTTACCCTCCAGGGGTTTTGGTGGTCCACTTTACACATTCTTCGGCCGATGGATACTCCCTTTCTAGGCTGGCACCTCCCTAACCATTCATGTATATCAAGCATTCATCAGTATACATTCCATATCTTAACCATATTTTAATTTACTGTCTCCACCACTTTCGGGGTGTGTGCTAATTCATTTGAGACTCCTGGCCCTTTAATCACAGAGGGTGGGGGTCTGTCCTAGGAGCCGTTGAATGAAGTGAAAGTCACTTAACGGCTTATATTGTTTGTTTAGATTGTATTAATTACTTCAAGAACAAAGTCAATTAACTTGTTTGTAAGTTTTACATAGTAACAAAGTATCTTTCACAGGATAGATATAATCAATGGTTTCTACAGACAGTAGCTTATAAGTTTTAACAGATGACCCAAGAGATTTTTGTACTTGGTGAAACTGTTGGATTTTAAAGTGTGGGGGACAAATTATGAGGGGGTCACTGTCACTTGGGGGAATCACTGTTAGTACCTTCTTTAATATCCCTACAATTTACTCTCTCAGTATTGGCTGGAGAGTACTGAGAATACGGGCAGTAGTTCCCCTTACAATCAAGAATCCCTTAATAAGGGATTCAAAGGGTATTTCTGAAATTTTCTAGCCTCCTGACATAGAGCTGGAGTCATTCACACAGTGGAGTTCGGGGGTGAAGAATGAAAGTCCAGAAATAATTGGTTTGGCTCAAAATGACCAGCCAAAATACATTTTTAAGCAGAAAGGGATAGGTTCTCCAGAGGATTTAGGGCAGTGGTTTTCAACCTATTTTTCATGCTGCCCACAATGTGTTACCTGGGCCGCAGGTTGAGAACCACAGCGCTCTCCCTCCCCTCAACCCCCCCCTACAAACTCCTATGCCCAGCGCCTCCCACCTAGAGACCTCTCCACAGAGTGGGGCCAGGAGCGGAGCCCTGGGTGGGGTACTGGGCAGCAGGGACCCCGGATCTCGCCGCGCGGGTTCGGCAGCGTTTAGCACACAGCTGGGCCGTAGCTGTGTGCCAATTGGACTGCATGCGGGCCGCAGCTTGGGGACCTGATTTAGGGCCTAAGTCTGACATTTAGTCACCATTGAGATGCTCAAAACCACCGCTCACCTGCCGCCCACCTCTGTAGGTGCCTGAATTTCCATCATTACAGTCCCCTAGGGCACCTACATTTCTGCCAGGGAGCATGCACACAGCTGTCCCATTCTAGGCACCTATTTCATGCTGAAGCCCCAGCAGGATGCTCAAACTAGGTGTTCCCCTGCTGTGGAATCCAATCCAGTAGGCATTCTCAGAGAACACCTGAATCTACACAAAACAGCTGCTGGTGGTGCCCTTTAGCTTTTAGCCCACTGGTTAGAACACTCAGCTGGGATGTGGTAGATCCAATTCAATTCTTCATTCTGCCTTATATGGAGACGGGATCTCAACGTAGTTCTTCCCTCTCCCAATAGAGTGCCCTAACCACTGTACTAGGGTGTAGTCTGAGGTAGGTCTCTCTCAGTCTGTCCTGTTGGAGCTGTGCTGCTTTGTATAATTAACTATAGAGTCACTCTCTCTCTCTCTCACTGTCTCTCCCAATGTATATTTAAGTAATTATACACAGCTCAACAGGAGAGACTGAAAGAAACCTGTCCCAGAATACGTCATAGCTCAATAGTTAAGGTAATCTCCTGAGACGGGGAAGACCCAAGTTCCTTATTTGCATCAGGCAGTGGGGAAAATTGAATGTGGGTCACTCACATCCTGGTTAAGTGCTCTAACCAGTGGGCTGAAAGATATAAGGGGACCACAACCAGCACCTATTTCTCTTTTACCTATGCACTGTACAGGGAGCCTGGATGCCTAACTTGGGGCTGTGGATTCCTCTGAGCAGTAAGGTGCCTAAAAGTTAGGTGTGACCATGTTAGTCCCTCCATTAATCTAGCTCAAAGTTCTTATGTATGCCTTTGAACTGAATTGTAGGACCAGAAATTTCCACATTTAGTCTTTAAAAATGCAGTGAACAAAAATGCTTTATTTAGCTATATTCCATTATCTCTTTGATAAAATAGAAATATAAAAATCCTGACTGAAAGCATTATCAATTCAAATAGTGTGTCAAGGCTTATCATTCTTCCAAATTGTATGTATTGAGCAAATCCATTTTCACATACTTTCACCAAAACAAAAAAGGAAGAAACTGATTACACGATCCAGTCTCATGTCTAATAAAATAGCAGTATGCATTTTTGACAAGCTTATACTGAACCATACAGATGGAAAATTCCAGTTCTCTATTCTCAGCAGGAAAAGCTGGCTTTTTAAGAAAATCTTTTTATTTCATGACTGTCACCAAGCATAGCAATTACAAACAAAATGGAGGTGACAAAAATGAAAACTCAGCTAGCTGATTTCTATGAAGTGTTTGTATTTCCAGAGAGCTAGTCATTGCTCAGTTATTTGATTTGAAAAATTAATCCTGATAATGCCTTTTGAGTTCCTTAAGTACTGTTCACTATTTTTCTAGGATGAGTTCTACAGAACAAAGACTAAAAGATTTCTACAGCAGATTAGTTTACAGATGAAGCTCAGTTCTACTGAGAATGATTCTCTAATGACCCCTTTTTATTTCCTTTGGGCTATGTGAATGCTTTAATAGTGAGAGAATAGAGTTAAGTAAATATATTGTCTCAACCAGTTAGTTTATGCAGTCCTCCTGAAATGTTTTAATTATTCCTTTTTTCCATAATTAAGAAATCAGAGGTCAGGCAAGCCAAACTGAGAGCTGATCATAGCCTCTGTATTAGTTTAAAGGAACCCCTAATAACATGAGTTGTTGTTTTTCTCATTTGCTTTACAGAACAAGAAGAGTGTGTTAATTGCACAGATGAATGCAGAGTGCTCGGTCATTCTGACAGGTGTTGGATGCCACAGTTCCCTACAACCAATCAGGCTGAAAATGCAGATTATCGCACAAATCTCTTTGTACCCACAGTTGAAGCTAACGTTGAGACTGAGACTTATGAAACTGTGAATCCCACCGGGAAAAAGACTTTTTGTACATTTGGGAAAGACAAGCGAGAGCACACTATTCTCATTGCCAATGTTAAACCTTATTTAAAAGCCAAACGTGCCCTGAGTCCTCTTCTTCAGGAGGTTCCCTCAGCATCGAGCAGCCCAACCAAGACATGCATTGAGCCTTGCACCTCAACAAAAGGACCACTGGATGGTTGTGAAGTGAAATCAGGAGCCTTGGCTGAACCAAGCAGCCAGTACTTGTCAACTGACAGTCATTATCTATCACCTAGTAAACAGTCAAGAGACGCTCCATTCATTGCATCAGATCAGATGGCTAGGGTCTTTGCAGATGTACATTCCCGAGTGAGCCGAGACTCAAGTGAGATGGACTCTGTTCTGGAGCAGTTAGACCGTTCAAATCGGGATCTAGGGAGAGAGTCAGTGGACGCAGAGGAAGTTGTGAGAGAAATTGACAAGCTTTTACAGGACTGTCGTGGAAGTGACCCTGTAGCTGTGAGGAAGTGAAAAAAAAAGTGTAGGCTGGCACTTACTTGCCTCTTCTGCTTATTTGGAAAAAAATAAAAGATCGCCCCTGGTTATAACAGTTTTACAGGGATGAAGGAAGACCAATGCTGCTTTAAGGCTTTTAGTGAACGTCTGAAGTGCCCACAAGTATGTTCTTTTCACTGCTCTTTCTTTTTCACATAAAATACTGGTTTCATTTTGACCAAACTTTCATTAGGACAGTGTGAAGTACATTAAGAACCAAGAGAAAGAAGGAAAGACAGTGCCATTTTGACAATCTGATAGGAAGGTATGAGAAATGAGGAATAGAACTACGTCTGATATTTTAAGACTGTCCTCAATAGTTGATGCTGACTTTACTGTTTACCTATAAACCCCATGAAAAGCAGGGTTGAATCATTCTGATCTGTGGTGGATTTCCAGCAGTCACCACAGGCTTCTACTGAAAGTCCTAACAAAGATTTTGTAGTAGTCCAAGCTACACCAAACATTAACATTCATTTGTGGTAAACATTTCTGTATAAAGTTATCTGCCACAAAAAATGAAACAAAAACACAAACAAACAAAAATCATTCCAGATCATTATTCAACAAAACATATTCTGGTCATTAGTAACACAACTCATATCATATTAAAGTTAAATGTAAAATGATATAGTCCATTTTGTCCTGCACACACATAAGCTAATTCACTTGATAAAAAGAAAAAAAAAAGGTTTTAATGCCTATTTAGCATTTTAGTGTCCGACAAAAATATAAATAGTTAGCACTAAGTTAGAAACAAACCTGAGGTATAATACGAGTTCGCAAAAATAGTTACCTTTGAAGGGTAATACATGAAACAAAATAACGTTATTAACACTTTTTTATTAATTTGTGGACACTAAAATAGCTCAGGAAAGTGAAAATATCTTAGACATCTACACAAATTACATGACCATTTAAATGTGCAAATGTAAGAAGATTCAATGTGTTTACATCAAATGACATATTTTTATTGATTTATTGCAGATTCAGTGCATATGAGCCAAATTGTTGAGTGTATAAGAGCTATATTGTGTATTTTATTAAATTAATATATAGTTGTGTTGCAAAAATATTTGGGCTTATATTGTAAATGGCAAGTGTTGCCTCAGTAGCTGTCGAACTCTATGAGTTTTGTTTTCTCCTGCTTCCTTTTCCCCATGGAGTGTGGGAAGCACTGCCTCAGAGCAAAGTCTCTTGTTCAATGTATGGTCTACAAAGTACTTCAGTACATAATCTGTTCAGAATGTGTTTGAGTGAGCTGATGGAGCTAACGGAACGGCCTACAAATACAACTATCAGTCATGGTTGTGTGCAAGTCCTTCTATTGCAAACCCATGTTTAATAACAAAAATTACACTTGAACCAACACCTGAAACCTCCTTGTTTTTTTCAAAGCACATATGCAAACAGTCTGTTTAGGTAACACATTCTTGGTTGAAATCACAGCTGATCCTAATATTTAATGTTTTATGCTACTGTTAAGTTCATAGAGTATAAAAATGTGTCAGAGCCTATGTGGTACAAGCGCTGTTTTTTCTGGTTTCTTGGAAAGTGCTATGGTTTACCAAGGTTCTGGGTGCGGGCTGCTTATTTTTTATTTGTCTTTTTTAACTATTATTTTAAGTTGCGTTGTTATCGTCTTGTTGGAATAATTTGCAAGAGAATCTCTCTCTCTCTTTCTCTCTCTCTCTCTCCCCCGCTCCAACCCCTATCCCCCTATTTAACTTCAACCCTTCTTTACGGTGTTTGGCAAACTTCAAAATTGCTTCTAGATGAAAGTTGAAAAAAATACACATTTAAATATTTGCTTAAAATGAAACTAGCACAAGCACAAGAAGCAGCAGAGGAAAAGTTTAGACTAACATTTTCCTCTGGGTATTTTAAATATTCTCTATGACATAGCACCATGAAACACAGTTATAGAAAACTGTGGATCTGGATTACACTAAATTTAAACTGTCATATCTTTAAATGTATTTAAAAGAGTGAATTTAATTCAGGTTGGCCATTTCAGATCCCACAAGGTCTTATTTAAATAATATTCATCAGTTCAAGAAACAAAGTTGACCAACACCTGGCTGTGATGTTGTGTATTCCGTGAAAAAGGTGTTCTCATCTAGTCAGTCCTACAATGAATTGTCTTTGGTTCTTGAAAACCAGCCATTCCAAAAGTTTGCTCTCAGCTTCCATTGTACAGAAAGTCTACAATCATATGTAAACAAAGGATATTGTACATGTTTTATCAAGCTACTCTCCATATTTTGGACAATTTGTGTATCTAAAATGTGTTGTTGTCTGTGTTCTACAGTATTATTTTGCCAGGAGATTCAAAGTTGATTTTGCTTGATAGCTAAAATTCCAGAGAGGATCCCTTTTTATTTTGTCTGTCTTTTACCCTTATTTCCATGGTGCCCATCACTTTAGTTTATGAGCACCAAGCTTTTAGTTCAGCCAGTGAGATCCATTATTCAGCTAAACCTAAATCAGTATGTAAATGTAGTCAAGTGACGGAGGCTTCTGTATTTTATAAACAATTTTAACACTCAGAAACCAATTGTACAATTCATTGTATGTGTCTGAAGACATAAAAACACAACATTCTGAGAAAGGGCTGTGCCAGTGTAAAAGAAATTTACCTTAAGGCTCTCTGTCACTAGTGATTTACTAGCTTGAGCTGTTTAACACATTATCTGTATTTAGTAGTGATTATTTATTTACCAGTCTGAGGTAATTCGGAATTCATGACTCACAGCTTTATAGCTGAGTTTAGCAAATCTTGCTTTTATTTAATTTGTCCAGCAACTGCCTTGTGTTGCAGAACTCTGGCATATTGCTTCCAATGAGGCTATCCCAGAATATGATATCTGCTTCATAATTTAGGAGTCACCTGCCACTGCTGTTGATACATCATGATCAACTGATAAAGTTTATATGGGGGGGGGAGGTTTTGAGGGTTAAGTTAGCATCTATGTGATTAAGTGAAGGAAATACCACACATGGGAGAAGTAAAATATAACTGTCTATCCCTCAACCTCCCTGCAAACAACTGGAAACAACCCAGCAATTAAAACTAAAGCCCATGGATTATTTCTTGCATTTTTGCGTACATAAGGCAGATTTTAAAAGTGACTTTTTATATTAAATGAAAACTTCCACCAGTCAATTGTAAAAATAATTATTGATACAAGGGGAAATCCATTAAACAACTAATAAAGGCATGAAATATGAGTGGAGAGGAATGGATGTCTATGCCACTTGTATATTAACCTAAGCAAATAATAGAGTAACATTTCCTGTGATTTCAGAAAATGTTGACCAACCAAATCATAAACAACTGAATTCAAAATCAGTTAGAAAATTTACCATTTTCTAGGCCTGTCCAGCAGAAGAGAACTTCTCTTGAAATGTGATTTGCCATTAGTGCACACAGGAGATTGTCCATTTAGAAATATGACCATTAAAAAGTCATACAGATGCTAGTGATGGAGCTCAATGTTTTATTCAAACTAGCTTTCCAGCTGTTTGTTGCCTAATGGAGTAGAAATGCTGAGGTCAACAAGTAGTCTGAAGTCTGGCATATTATACGCCCACTCATTATTGTCTAATTACATTCTTTTGACATCAGGCAGCATTTATCAGTGCATTAATTCAAATGGGAGTTTTGGCTATCAAGATTTGTTGATTTGAAGTGTAATTGAATGAAACCTGATTAAGGTCTTGACTTCTCTGGCCCCATTGTTCCACAGGTTGGCAGTTCACATTTATCAACCCTTGTCTCCCCATATGGCTAAGAGCTGCACCAAGTGACTGGTGAACAACACTAAAAAAAAAACAAAAGCAGCATACATTGTATGGATTATCTCAACCGCTATTGTTTAATGGCTGTGTTTAATGTGACCTATCTGGAAAATGAGGACTACGAATAAAAAGCAATTACTAATAGTGGTGTTGCCTGCTCTTGCATTCATTAACAGAAAAGAAATGTGTTAAACACTGCATACCACAGGGAGCCTGATGGTAATTACTTTGGAAAAGCAACTTGTGGCAATGCGGCTGTTACAGCTAGTTAACAGTTTGCCAAAAAAATGACAGTTCCTGCTTCATTTATTAGAAATGTGTAACCGTTTTCTCTCAACAGGAAAGTGGTGAAGACTTTTCATCAAGCTGGGTAGGGTTATCTTTTAAGCAGCTGATGTGATGAAGCCCTGCAGGCTATTATTACAACAGTATAGAGCTTCAGTAATAGGACTTTACTATACTGGTTTACTATACTGAAGTGAACTCACCAGAAGTATTATAAATGAGGGTCTCAGTTCTCAAAGGCTGTCAGCCTAGCAAGAAAGATCAAATCACTGCTCAAGTGTACATGTGGAAAAATAATCCAAAAAATGTAGGGTTTTTGTTTTTTGTTTTTGTTTTTTTAATCTTTCTCAATGTCCTGGGTAACAGAGGTAAGTAATCTCTATTCATATTCTGCTCTAAGCAACATGACAAAGCAATGGGGGAAAATGTTACTAAGTATTAAGTCTGGCTGCTTGAGTTGTTGACAAAATATACAATCCTAACTAGACTATAACTTATTCATTTTTTGCATCAAGATGAATTCACCACATGATGTGCCAAAGGGCTTTTTAAAAGTGCTCTAATTTGATGTCTTCTGTGGTTACCCATGTGGCATAATGATAATAGGTTGATATATGTGGAGCTCTGGGGGAGTTTCTTCCACGGATTTTCAACCAACAAGAGAATAGTGTTTGCTTTTGACAGATTCATATTTAGATCATTCAGGATACTGCAGGTATTAGGGAGGTATTTGTAAATACCCAACTTCTAGCTCACGGTTATTCTAGCATGGTCTTTTGTCCTTTTCGGTTCTGTATTACCAGAGGCTGATCTTTACAGTCCTACAGGAAAGATGGCTATTCACTCATTCCATATCTTCTATAACTCTATTATGCAGAAACAAAACCATCCTGCATCTAATTAGCTGACTACCCTGGACACAGAAAACCCCTATTGTGTTCTTCTCTGCTTTCTGCTGCATATGTTTGTCTTCCCACAGGCTGCATTCCAAAATCCAGCAAGCCCTGTCTATACAGAATCCTGCCAGAATGTACCTTATGCTCCTGAAGTCCTTGTTTGACGTGGGGATGTTTGCTGTCTTGCTGTCATGAACTCTGCATAATTCAGAGCTTGGCTGGGTACATACTGTATGTAGAACAAAAAGGAATAAACCATCCCAGCTTCCCTTTATCCCAGAATATAGTGTCATTGATTTCTCATTTGGAAAGTGGCCAGTCTGTTGCATAAAGATTGTTAGATCTCCACTAGGCCAATCACATATAGCTGCTTCAGGGTGTTCACTCATGGGACAAATATCCTGTTCTCAACCCTTATACGTCTGAGACAAGAAAGCAGCTGAAAGTATATTTCTTCACTTAGTTATATGTCCCTACAGGCAGAATTTCACTGACAGTAATGGGGAGATGGCCCTGTGCAGTACATGTGTAGCCTGACTTGTAAAAGGTCAGCTTAGTATCAGTAGTGCACACAGAAATGGATCAGGAAGTTAATGAGCCATCTTTAAGCCTTTTGAGTCACATTTTCCAGGATGCTTGTGGTGTCAGAGGGATACATAGGAAGCACAATATCGCCCTTTGTTCATTGCTTCTGATTACTAATATATGTTAAATTCTCACTATATGTTAAATTCAAGATTAAGAGAAATGTTTCCCTTAATGGTTAGGAGACAGTGTTTTCTTTCTTTCTTAATAGATGCTGGAATCAATCTGTGGAGTCTGTTTTTGTTTTAAAATAAAAGTACTGCTTATAGGTATGCATCTTTTCTACAGGTATTTTAGAGCAG